AATTGTATCAAAAGAACGACAGCATTGGGTGGGGCATGGGGGTTGCACCTCAGGCCATTTCTTTGATCCTGCTGTGGGCACTTTGCTATGCTCTGGAGGCAAGGGCAGTGCCTGAGAATGGGGACCAGTGCCTGGGAGGCATGATTTTCTACTGTTTCCCTGCCTCATATAGCCTAAGCTCCTGGTACAACAGACCATTCATCCTTGATTACCCACCTGCAGACCTTTGCTCATATTATTCTGTTAGCCTGAGTATCCCTTCTCCATTGAGTCTCTCCTGTCAGACTCTGTCCTTCAGGACCCCACTCAACTTTCACCTCATTCAGCAACAATAACAAATATTTATTGAGCACCTACAAAGTGCCAGGAACTGTGTTAGACACTGGGGATACAACAGAAAATAAGGCAAACAACAAGGGTCTGTCCAGTCCTTATGGAGCTCACAGTCTGGTCAGAGAGATGAGCATCAGAAAGTAAACCAAAATAGAAAAATGTTTTTTTCTAGTTTTGGGTAACTGCTTTGAATGAAACAACAGAGTGAAAAGTTAGTTATGGGAAACCCGCATTAAATAGGGTGTTCAGGGAAGGCTTCTCTGAAAAGGTGACTTTGAGCCAAGACTTAAGGATGAAAAGGATCCAACAATCATGGAAAAAGCCAAATGGAAGAGAATTTCAGGCAGCAGGAAAAGCAGCAAAAGCCCTGAGGAGGAAATGAGGTTTGTGTATTTGAGGAATGACAGGTCTGTGTGGCTAGATTGTGGGAGTGTGAGGTGGGGTGGGATGGCATGGAATGAGGTTAAAAAAGTAGACAGGAGCCAGATCCTGCCGAGTTTTATAGGCCATGGTAAGGAGTTTGGATTCTATTTAGAATACAGTGGGAAGCTGAGCTCATAAACAAGTGTTCCACCCCCTTCAAACGTACTCATTAGTTTTTCTACACCCGTACACCTTTTGTCATTTTCCCTTTTAATTATAGTTATATATCATTGTGCTAGACTGTGAGCTCCCTACAGGCAAGAATCCCACAGAATGGGAAGGGTCTCACCTGCTTCACAAGGATGTTGCAATGATTCTGGGAGATAATGAATGTGAAGGTACAAAGCATGATACCTGGCACCGGATGGATGCCCAGCAAGGGTCAGCTGAAATGAAAAAAAGTTGAATTCCTTTTGTCTTCTTCCTTCTGCAGAACTGGGAAGCACGCCTGCTGCTGGAGAGGTCATGTGCTGTCAAGTGCCCGGACATTGCCACCCAGCTGGCTGGGACTAAGAAGGTGCAGCAGGAGCTAAGCAGAGTGGGCGTGCTGGAGGTGTTGCTCCCTGGCCAGTCAGAGGCTGTGGCCCGCCTCCGTGCCACCTTTGCTGGCCTCTACTCATTGGACATGGTGCGTGGGCAGCCTGTATCTCCTACCACAGACCTCCTAGGTGACAGAGACCTGGAGCCCAGTTTTGGGGAGGATGGAGCTAGCATTGTGGCTGTTGTTGTGACTTGGGTCAGTGATGCCCTGGAGAATGCCTAGAGCCCTGGGGAGAGGCATAGACTCATGATGGGAGGACAGGAGCTGTAATCCATTGCATACACCCTCAGCAAAGGTAGAGATGGGGATGGCAGCCAGGAGAAGGGACCGAGGCAGATAGCAACAATGGAGGAATATCTTTCTAGCTGCCTGTGCAGAGCCCTGAACTGTTGCCAGAAAAAGGCCTGTTATTGCATTTACTGCTGCAGGGAGTTGTAGGGGGTCACATCTAGATAGTAGCATCCAGCCTGAAGGAGCTTATTGGCTGTTCTGCCTCTTGTTCTTCCTCTGATGCTGCTCTGCATGACCAGCTGGACCTCAGCTGTTGTTTCTTTAGCCTTAAAACTGCTGGTGACTGCTTTCTGCCTCCTGCCAGGGTGAAGAAGGAGACCAGGCCATCACCAAGGCCCTTGCTGCCCCTAGCCGGTTTGTGCTAAAGCCCCAGAGAGAGGGTGGAGGTAGGTGGATCCTTCTTTGCAGGACTGCTCAGTGAAAAGGGCTAACAGCCTGTCTCCAGTGATCAACGGCACAGTCCCAGGCTCAGGGGATACTAGAGGAACTGATGCAGGCCCCACCTTGGACAGCGTCCCCTGAGACCCTGTGACCAAGTGCTGTGGAGCACAGGGGAAGGTTTGAACAACTTTTAGTCTGAGGTGCCTGAGGGTAGAGCACAGGGGAAGGTTTGAACAACTTTTAGTCTGAGGTGCCTGATTGTGGGGAAGCAGGTTGGGAGCATATTAGGAGGTTGCAGGGAATATAGAGGTGATGAAGAGGGAAGAGTTAAATGTGACTCAGGGATGTCTTTGGCCTGATTGGGAGTGGGAAGATCCAGGAGGGGCAGGTTCAGGCAGAAGTAATGAGTTCTATTTGGACATGTTGAGTTTGTGTTGGGGGACTGTGAGACATTCATGTGATGTCTAGAGCTGGGAGCTTGAGTTAAAAAGATTTGTGAGTGAACTTATGGGGTATAGATGGAGCATTGGGAGGAAGAGATCTCTCTGAAAAAAAGGTACAGAGAGGAGAGAGCAAGGGTAAAGGACCAATTCCCTGGAAACCTCACTATTTAAAAGGAGAAGCATCCAGTAATGTAGGCTAAGAAGGAACAGCCATAGATAGGTAGAAGGAGAACCAGGGCAGGACATGTGGCAGATAATGTGTTCCCTTGTGTAAGCACTCTCCTGTCAAGGTGACTTTCCCTTCTTGGGAGCCAAATGTGTTCTGGCTTCACTGAGCTAGTGTCAGGAACTGAGACTACTCTCTTGCCCACATGGCCCCAGATGTGAGGGCACGGGGTGGAAGTAGGCAGAGGGCCTAGGGTGACTGGCCAGTCTAATTGCAGGTAACAACCTGTATGGTGAGGAAATGGTGCAGGCCCTGGAGCAGCTGAAGGACAGCGAGGAGAGGGCCTCTTACATCCTCATGGAGAAGATCGAACCTGAGCCTTTTGGGAATTGCCTGCTACGTCCTGGCAGCCCTGCACGAATGGTCCAGTGCATCTCAGAGCTGGGCATCTTTGGGGCCTATGTCAGGTGAGCCAGTCAGGAGGAGCACCTTCCTTGCAGGGGTGCCAGCCAAGTAAACCTAGAGGGAACTCTGGACAGTTAGGAATCCTGGGCTTCCGTCCAGTCCTGCCAATCCCTAGCTTTGTTATGTATTTCCATACCTATTAAATGAGGCCAAGGACTCAAGAACTGCCCACTTCACAGGGCTATCATATGAAGCCCAGATTAGAAGTGCTTTGCAACTGTAGAGGAAATTCCAAGTAGTACCAAGAAGATTCAGAAAATACAGTCTAACAATCCAGGACTAGAAGGAGACTCCAGGGAGGAAGAGAATTTGGGTCTAGCTCCTAGGCCACTGGGGATTCTGGAGAAAGGGGAGATATGCCAGCTAGGGGATACTAAGTGGATCTGAAAAGCTGAGGGGCCCCTGGGTTTGGATTTGAGCACTAAGAATCAGAAAGAGAGGAGGACCTGGGAATTTGTAAGGAACAGTTCCTGGTCCCTCATACCACTTCTTGCAAAATACTTACTTCAAGGTCAGAACAAGATAGGGATACCAGATCCTACCATGCTCCCCACCAGAGCCTGCCCTCTCTACAGCCTCCCCTCTGACCACTTGCAGTATTCTCCCCAACCCCTACCATAGCCATCTAGAGAAGGAAATTCATAGTTCGGGACATGAAATGTGAGCCTGGCATCATGCTAAGTGCTTTTCCTGTTTTAATTAATTCTCATGACCTGCAAAGTAAGGGGTATTATTCCTATTTTAAATTGAATAAATTGATATTTAGAAAAGCTAAAGAACTAGCCCAAAGACATAGAGCTAATAATTTCCAAGCTAGGATGCAAACCCAAATCTGACTCCATACCCAAGACAGTTCTAGGATTTTAATCAGTTTCCTATGTACTGCTCAGCTGGGAACAGGGAAGGTCTTGGGTTTGGAGGCTGAGTCCAGGTGATGTTGTGTGTCTCCTGCCCCCATTTCTGTAGGCAGGGAAAGACACTTGTGATGAACAAGCACGTGGGGCATCTACTTCGAACCAAAGCCATGGAGCATGCAGATGGTGGTGTGGCAGCAGGAGTGGCAGTCTTGGACAACCCATACCCCGTGTGAGGGCAGAGCCAGGCCAGCTTGGACTTCACTCAAGAGACTTTCTGTCCCTGTACTTGTCATTTTCTCTCCTAGCCCTCCTCCAATCTCAGAAGGGCTGGTCTCTTCTAAAGACCTCCTGGGTCTTCATGGAAGGGTAAATGCTGGGTCCCTTCCTCCAGCTCTCCATCTGAGGACCAGAAAAGCTGTTTTCCTTAGATGAGAGTTAGAGGCCCCCAAATCCTTGGGTGTGGGTACAACTGAAGGGTAACTGCTTTGAGGTAAAGATCCATAAACCCTGCCACCCTCCTGTCAGCCCCTCATCAGCCTTTTCAACGTTCCAGTGCCTGAGTTGGGATAGGACTGAGAGGTAGGAGGAGGCAGAGTGGAGGGGCATAGCCTTTCCCCAACGCTGCCTTAAATAAATCTACATTGTTGATTCTGTGATTCCTTGCTTTGTGCGTAGTGGGGAGGGGGAGCTATAATCTAGGTCGGCCCATTTAAGGTGCATTGGAGCAGGGGAGGTGATTGGGCTATATAATCAGGGTCTCCCTAGATCCAGACCCCATGAGGGGATCGTGAAGTTTCAATCCTTAGTTACCCACTGGTGCTCCTATGGAATCACAGTGATTCTGGCAGGAGCCCAAGAGGAAAGGCAACCATGATGGGACATCACAATTGTGAACTGGCTTCAGTTGCTTTCCTACTTAGCTCAGAGGCTTGTTAAAGGGCCTGTGAGTGAGGCCCTACCTAGCTCTGCCCAAATCAAAAGTTCCAGAAGGAAGATAATAGGGTAGTCCCAGGTAATACCACTCCCTTTCCCATCTGTCACAAAAATCAGAGCAGCTAATGAGTACACAGCCTGAAAGATCTAAGAAAACAACTCACCACTTTCTTGAGGTCACAGACTTTATTCCTACAACCACAGGACTTGAGCACAACTGGGGCAAGAAAAGAGTTTCATCTGAGACTGTCTCTCATGGGCAGGTCTCTGTTCAGGGGAGGATGGAAAGAGAGGACAAGGAAGACAAGCTCCTCTGGCCCTAGGAACAAAATACATCCACTCCTTTAAAGAAGCAGATGATCTGAAAACCCTCTGGAGATTGAACCTGCCTGAACCCCGGAGCAAATGGGCAGACAGTACTGCCATCTGGCACAAAAGGGAATTCAGACCCAGAACAGAAGCAGCAAAGTATTTAAAAAACAATCATCAATTGTTCCTTGACTTACAAAGTGTTGTTTCTAAGGGCAAGTGCATGCCCGATATAAGTACTGGTGCTTCCTGAGAGAGCTGACAGGATTACAAAGCTGCTTCTCTGCTTTAGTCTAGGCCCTCACTTGCCCTCTGAACACTTGAGTTGGGGATGTGGCCTTTAGGTCCCTGTTCTGGGCTGAGAGCTCTTTGCAGTCTGAGGCTGACCTAGGCCCTATCCCTTCTACCTAGCAGTCACAGGAAGTTGTCTCCATGCAGGGACAAAGGTGGTTCCTGGGTCCCAGTCAGCTGGTTAAGGAAGGTGGTGTGGGTCAGCACTGGCTCTCAGCACTCCTGGATGGGGTCAGGGAGGATGTGCAAAACTGGAGAGCCAAGCAGGGGGAATCCTGAGTAAAGAACAGGGTCTCGTTCACAGGATGGTCAGGCAGCGGTGGCTGAAGAGGTGACTGATAATGGATGGATCAGCCACAGTAGACATGTCCCCCAGGTCATGGTCATTCTGAGCAATCTTGCGAAGCACTCGCCTCATGATTTTCCCTGGAGACCACAGGCCTCTGGTTACTTGGTGACAACACTGACCCACCCACCCCTGCCAAAGGTTTTTATCCACACACACCCAGCCACCACTGGGCCTCGACCCTTCCCAATCCCTGGAAGCCCCTGAACATACCTGAGCGGGTTTTAGGCAAGCCAGGTGCATTCTGGATGTAGTCCGGTGTGGCAATGGGGCCAATCTTTTCTCTAACTGAAACCAACAAATCATCAAGCATTTCTTCAGCACCCTTAGCCAGACTTCCCAAAAGCAAGGTAGAGATGACTTAGTTTCTCACCTCTTTCCTCTTCAAGAACCTGCCCACAGAGTCATTCTCAGTTTCTCTCTTTCTCTCTCTAACACAACGTCTCTTTACTCTCATTTTTATCTTAACCCACCTTCATGGAACTCAGGCTCTAGAATTAACCTGCTAAAGTCTAAATCCTACCTTTCTAGCAGTGTGGCCTTGTGCAAGTGATTTAACTTCTCTAAGTCTCAGTTTCTTCATCTTTAGAATGAAGGTAACAATAGAATCTGTTTCACAAGGATGACATTAAGTGAGATAATGCATCTTAAGCACTTAGCCCAGGGGTGGCACAGAGAAAGTATTCTGTAAATGTTGGTTATTATTATTATCCTAGTGGAAAGACCAGTGGAGACTGAGCAGGAAGAGGGCAATCAGCCCCCGGGGGCTTCTGGGATCTTTGCGGCAGCTCACTCAACGCCCCCCCCCCAACAACTTGCAGTCCCTGCCCGGGGAGGCTCCTCACTCTGCTTCTTGAGCTCCTCAGTGAGGCTGGGGCTGAAGGTGTGGCCATCACACAAGGTAACAAAGCAGTAGAGGCATTCGCCCTTCACAGGATGAGGGTGGCCTACCACGGCTGCCTCCACAACAGCCTCGTGTTCCACAAGTGCTGACTCCACCTCCGCTGTACTCAGCAGGTGTCCTGGTCAAGGGAAAGGAAGGGCCATGAGAGAGATTCCAGCCTCTGCCCCAGCCCCTGCTCCATTTGTATCCACAGGACAGTCCTGGACTGTTCAAATGGGGAAGGACCTTCATTCATTCTTCACATGGCATGCTTCCAATTACCCCATCATCCCAGTTTCCCTCTAGGCACATTCAAGTGTTCATCACTCTTCCTCCAAAACCTGGGCCCAGAACTGAAAGCTGCACTCCACATGTGGTCTGGCCAATGTACAGTCCCGGCTCCCTCAGAAGGCTTTGGCTGGGAGTTGCCAGGAGAGCTGAGTTAATGTGATGGGAAGGTGGCCCCTGGCCCTCACCAGATACATTCAGCATGTCATCAATCCTGCCAGTGATCCAGTAATAGCCATCCTGGTCCCGCCGGCAGCCTGGGAAGAAATTCACAACATAATAAATACCCCACAGTAGGATACATGATCCACATTACCAAACAGTCACACCTACTGCCATAGCCTTCTAACAAGTCTTCCTGCTTCTACTCCTGCCCACTGTGGTAGCCAGCCTCCAAGATGGACTTACTGATCTCTGCCTCTTGGTATTCATGGCCCTGCATAGTTCTCTCTGTACTAGGGTTAGTCCTTGTGATCAGCTGAATTTGGCAGAGATGATGAAATGTCACTTCTGAGATTAGGCTATAGAAGACACTGTAGCTTCTGTCTTGGTTGTTTTCTCTCAGATTATTAACTCTGGGGGGAAGCCAGCTCTATGTAGAAGCCCACGTGGTGAGGGACTGAGGATTCCCTCCAACAGCCACATGAGTGAGCATGGATGTTGGTCCTCTAGGTTCAGTCAAACCTTCAGATGACTGCAGACTCTACCAACAGCTCAACTGCAACCCAAAAGAAACCCTGAACAAGAACCACCCAGCTAAGATGTTCACAGAATCCTGATCCCCAGAACCTATGTTAGATAATACAATATTTGTTGTTTAAACTTCCAACTTTTAGGGTAATTTGTTCCATGGTAATAGATAACTAATATGAGAGTACTTCAAAAGTTTATGGAAAAACAATTAAAAGATAATACAAATCTTTCCATGAACTTTTTAAAGTACCCGTGTACACCCATCTAAAGTCTTATCTCTGTAAAGTGAAGTTATTTTCTAAACAGTAAATCACTTATTACCCCCTGCTTAAAACCTGTAAATGTCTCCTGCTGTACTTTGAATAAAATCCAAACACCTCATAATGGCACATGATACCCTATACTGTCTACCTCTCTAGCTTCATATAATATTCCTCCCTTTGCTCACTACACTCCAGCCACACAGCCTTCAGTCTGTTCCTCAGACATTTCAAGCTTGTGTCTGTCTGCACAGAGCACTCTTACTCTAGATTTCTCCATGCTTAGCTCCTCACCCTTCTGGTCTCTGCCCAAATGTCTTTTCAGAGAAGCCTTTTCTGACCATTCCAGGAACAGTAGCCATCCCTGCAGATACTCTTTATCACATTATCCTGTTTAGTTGTCTTCATAGCACTTACCTCTACCTAAAATAAACTTATTTTCTTGGTTGCTGGGTTTATTGTCTGTCTCTTCTTACTAGAATGTAAAGGCCCATGAGAGCAGAGACCTTGACTGCGTTACTCACAGTAATATCCCCTGTGCTTAGATCAGTGTAGGGGCATAGTAGGTGCTCGATAAATATTTCTGGATGAATGCATTGGTGGATGAGCAAATGGACAAACACAGGCTCCAAACATATGAAACAGTAATACACACTGCCACATGCCCCATCTGTTTTAACACAAGAGCAAGAAATAAGGTCCTCTTTCCTCAAACATTCAATCTCAGATGGCACCATCCTGAGACCCTTCCTGCAATACTCATTCCTGCTCTTATAGTCTTCTCTATAGCTCTACCTGGATACTGGACACTGACAGGTAGGACACGTTTCTCTCTCTGTTTTTGTCACCCCTAACCAACTCTTCCTGAAAATGGAAGGGGAAGGTACATGTCTTAGTGGTAAGTGCGGGAAGGGGATAGCCAAGGCTCACCATCTCCTGTCACGTAGTACCCAGGGAACTTCTTAAAATAGGTGGTCTCAAAACGTTCGTGGTTCCCATAGACTGTGCGCATGATCCCTGGCCAGGGCTGCTTGAACACCTGGGGAGTGAGGAAGGCACAGTGATGTTTGCTATGCTGTCTCACTGGAAGACAAAGCTCTGCTAAGCCTGAGGGAAAATGTCCTGAATGCTATACCTGAGAAGTATGACAAGTGTAGACTTTGGCGATATATAATCCTGGCTTAGAATCTCAACTCTGCTACTTACTAGCTGTATGACCTCAAGTAAGTAACTATCTTTCTGAGCTTCAGGATCCTTATCTTTGAGCCAGAGAATATAATTTCTATCTTCCAAAGTTATTGTGAGGACTAAATTAATAGTATGTGGAAATTACTTAGCACAGCATTCTGTTAGTGATGAGCATTTAGTAAATTTGAGTCTTCTTTTTAGTAACCCTTGGGAAAGTGGGTCTGGTTTGATGCAAATGAAAACAGCCATATGTAAAAAAAGTGGGACCTACACATGAATAAATTATTATTTCCCAATCAATAATGTTCTATGGCAGCAGATTGATGGCATGGATGGAATTCTAGGCTAAGAGTCAGAAGGTCTGGATTCAAGTCCTGCCCCTCTTACTATCTTGCTCTTGGGAAAGTGAAATGGGGTGGGGTTGGGGGGCTGGTGAGGTCTTTACAAGTACTAATACAACAATCATGACAGCTAACATTTATCAAGCCCTATTAGGTTCTGTACCAACCTTCGCAAGGATTATATAGTTAACCAAGCAACCATAGGAAACAAAGTTACTATTATAATTCTATTCTACAAGTGAGAAGATTTAGGTTCAGAGGGGTTAGGTAGCTTATCTGAGGTCACAGAGAGGCAGGGCTAGGATTTTAACCCAGGCAGGCTAATTCCAGAGCTTAAATGATTTTCCACCACTTTAATGAAGTCTCCTTTCTCTAGAATGTTTGTCAAAGGAAGACTTGGGACTAAGTCTTCCAGACCCAAAAAGGTACCATCAGATATCTTTGAGCAAACTCTAAAAAGACCCTTAAGAACCTCATGGGCCAAAAGGCAGAGGTGCATGCAAAGTATCCAGAAGGATCCCCCAGGGTTCTCTCAGAGAGGATTAACCTCCAACCATGGAGCTTCAGTCCTAAGCAGCTACCAGAAGAGATTAGGTTATAAACTCTAGAGCAAAGTACCCTTGGTGAACCCTTTTCCCCTCTCCTCAAAGATCCCCTAGGGCCAGGGCCTTACCAGATAACCTTCAGCTTCACCTTCCAACTCTTCCCCAAACTCACTCAGGATTGCAGGAGCTACACCAAAGAATGGGAAGGTCTAGAAGCAAACAGGAGACAGACCCAAGAAGAGAAATGAGGCAATTCTGACTCAATTCACAAGGAGACATACAAAGCCCCAAATTCTTCACACATAAGTCCAGTCCCCCAGTCTCTACCTAGGCCAGATGCCCCTAGACTCTACCCCTGCCTAGCCCAAGACTAGCTGGGAGGGCCTCACTCACAGCAGAACCAGGTTTCATGGGTGTGGCACCAGGGAGGGGAGTCAGCATGTGGCCACCCTGTGGAAGTCAGAGATCAGGGGTTTGGGTCAGTCTTCCCACATTGTCCCTGACCCCCAGCCTTCTGAGCCCCTCACTCACTGTCTCTGTTTGCCAGAAGGTGTCCACGATGGGGCAGCGCTGGGCACCTACCACCCGGTGGTACCACAGCCAGGCCTCAGGGTTGATGGGTTCACCCACTGTGCCTAGCACCTGCAAGGATGCCCGGCTATGCCTTGGGCAGGGGAGTGGGAGAGAGGAAGGCTCTAAGTACCACTGGGAGCCAGGGTACACATGCCCAAGCTCTTCTCTAGCCCCCTCCCCTATTCTGGTTCAGGGAGTTGTGACAATGGAAAGGAAGAGACTGTACAAAGGCCAGCACCCAGCTCTGAGGGATACCCATGGGGCAGCAACTGGGGAGGCATCTCACTTGGTGACAGGTTCATCTCCAAACTTCATGAGCAGACGGATGGCTGTGGGTGCTGTGTAGAACTTGGTCACCTTGTATTTGTCCACGATGCTCCACAGGCGGCTCTCATCCGGGTATGTGGGGATCCCCTCAAACTGACCCCAATAAAGGCTGATCATTTCCAGTTCTTCCCAATGATCCTTCCATTTCCCTGCCATTCCCCCAGGTTCAGTCTTTTGCCCTTTCTGACCAACCATGTCTTCATTCCCTGACCAGACAAGCCAAGAGACCTTCTTAGTCAGGATACACAAGCCGCTTAGGACTTTTTCTCCAGGAAACAGATTGTTGTATAAGTCCCCTCTGACCAACCATGTCTTCATTCCCTGACCAGACAAGCCAAGAGACCTTCTTAGTCAGGATAACAAGCCGCTTAGGACTTTTTCTCCAGGAAACAGATTGTTGTATAAGTCTCTCTGCCTCTAGGCCGAGTAGCATTGGGAGGTAGTAACCTAGCATAATCTTGTCCATCCCCTAGCTAGGCCAGGTGGCTGTGGGTCCCAACTCCCTTCTCACCAAAACACTGGTGGCACCATTGGCCAGTGGCCCATAGGTGATGTAGGAATGGCCAGTGATCCAGCCAATGTCTGCTGTGCACCAAAACACATCTTCTGCATGGAAGTCAAACACGTATTTGAAGGTCGTGGCCACATAAAGCATGTAGCCTCCAACTGTGTGTACCACACCCTGTGGGAGGAATGGAGCCTCAGAGGTTGGTTGCCTTGTGACCATCCCTACTGACCAATGAATAGAGGCTTGGCAGAGCTGGAGGGAAATCCTCCTCTGGGATTCTGGCTCTGCCAGTACCCCTTTCACAGCATCCATCTCTCTTCCATCTCCATTTCTCCATGCTCGCTTCTCATCTTTATCGCACTCTGGATATCACACATGTATATCCGTCCATCATTCACATCCACACCCTCAGATGGTATTTCTGAGCCACCCACATCACTCTCATACACATGAACACTCCTAGCACACTCACATCCAATAGTTTCTGTAGTGTATTTGTGCCCACACACTCAATTACACATGGCAGAATGTGTGAAGAAGAAAAAAAAAAAAAGACAATCCCTTTGCTCACTCCATCCCTACCCCATAGAAAGGCCCATTGAGGGATATTCCAAAGCACAGAGAGGAGAACTCAGGGATGGGGTGGGTAGAAGGTAGAGTGACATAGCCTTCAAGTTAATGAAAGAGTCAGAGTGTTCTTAAATGTTTCCAGCTTCCACACTGTGCCCTGGCAGGGGGCTAGATGTTAATAGTGTGCCATGTGGAAGGCACTGAACTCTAAGAGCTATGGTCTTAGAAGCCCAAGAGGGATCCCTGTGTCCACCCTTTGCCTTGAGTTGACAGGACAGCTCTCCTTCAACAAACCATGTAGGCATGGGCAAGGAACATCCATGTCAACCACATGGACTGATCCTTTCCCCCTTTTCTGGGCACCATGAAAGACCCCATTTGAATTGTCTCACCCTGTGCCTTACCACCTAGTGATTGAGAATTTACGTCTTAATTTGATTTAGAAAAGGTATTGTGATATTTCTGAAACTCAGGAGAGATTAACCATAACATGTTTAGAATAAGACACCCTATGAGGATGGTAAAATCCAGAGGAATAGGAAGATTTATGTTGTGCTTTAGTAAGGGAAGCCATTTCCTTTTAAGCATGTATTACCATCTCTCCATTACTGATAAGGAAACTGGTCCCAGAGAGGAGAGGTGACTTATTCAAGGTCATACAGCTAAAAATTGGTCTCTGGACTCCAGGCCCACTCTCTCCCTAACCTGCTTCAAACACCCACTTATGGATCTCACTTCTTAGAACCACCTACAATGTGACTTTTATTCAGTTTAGCGCTTAATTATATCAGAGAGTTATAGCAGTTTGTAATTCCCAGAGTGGTATATAATGTATTTAGGAATCTTCTTTTCTGCTGTTATATATAAAACTTAAGTTTTCATTTGTAATACATGTCCAGCTCCTAAACCTAATAGTAAATTCCCTAGGTCAGGATCTATACCTCCTCTACCTGCACCTCCTCCTGTTTCTCCTGGCTCTGCCCCAGCTAAGTCCACAATAAATGTTTTCTGACATGTTCCCCTCTCCCACACAGGTCCTGAGCAGCAGGAGTGAAATGGGATGTCTATTGCAACCTCTCTGAAATCCATGCTATATGCCAGTTCAAAGAGGCAGTAACAGGCATTTGATTTTACAACCCTTCAGTGTGGCATAGATGGCAAGGGGCCCACGGACAAAGGGAAGGGGATTAGCTCTGACAGCCACCTCAATGGCACAAACAGGCAAAAAGCAAATGTTCACACAGACAGCACACAGGGAAGCAGTGCCCAAGGCAGTGCAGAAGTGGATACCTGGGGCCGAACACGCTTGGATTTCTCTTTCAGCTTACCCTGTTAAGAGCCCATGGAAAGGCTAGTGAGCGGGGTCTGAGTATAGGGGAGTAGGAGGGAAGAACCAGTGTGCCCAAACCCTTGGCTGCCTCCTTTCCTTCAGGCTCCCTTATCACTGGTCCTCTCAGCCTCTATTTTCCTGATCCTGATTCTAGCCCTTATACACATGGAACTCTTAATGCTGATGGGCTCTCCAACCTCCCTAAAGTAGACTACAGCCTCTCTTAGCCCCAAGACTACTCAGGGCCCCTCAAGTCACGGAATCTTATTAACTGTCCTTTGGACCCCAGAACTTTCATCTCTCACGCTTCTCAGACCTGGAGGCCACCACTGGGCTTTTTTTTTTACCATTCCCACCAGAATCACTTGATCCAAAGCTAACAAGGGCCATATCTTGGGGGCTAGACCCTGGTCCTTCCATGGTAGGCATCTGCTAAGCCACAAAAGCAGCTCACCCCAAGCCACCACCCAATAATCAAGATGACTACATACAGTCACCCAAGTCAGACATTTCTAACCTGAGGGTCCCCTGTGCCCATTAGGATACCCCAACCAGCACAGGAGTCTCCCCTACAATCTCTCATGCTCAGTTCCTGAAATACAAGGACCACTCTACCTACAACCAAGGTCAAAGTCTCCCATCTCCCACCCAGCCCTGCCAGAGGAGACATTCCTAGGATTGCTCCCAGATGCTCAGCATTATGATGAGGAAACAAAGGAGGACATCAGGAACTTCCTGGGCAGAAAGAGAGAATCAAATCTATATCCATCATGCTAATGAGAATGGAGAAAAGGTGCTTATATCTTCTTACCATTAGCCTAAGAGATTAACCATAACATGTTTAGAATAAGACACCCTATGAGGATGGTAAAATCCAGAGGAATAGGAAGATTTATGTTGTGCTTTAGTAAGGGAAGCCATTTCCTTTTAAGCATGTATTACCATCTCTCCATTACTGATAAGGAAACTGGTCCCAGAGAGGAGAGGTGACTTATTCAAGGTCATACAGCTAAAAATTGGTCTCTGGACTCCAGGCCCACTCTCTCCCTAACCTGCTTCAAACACCCACTTATGGATCTCACTTCTTAGAACCACCTACAATGTGACTTTTATTCAGTTTAGCGCTTAATTATATCAGAGAGTTATAGCAGTTTGTAATTCCCAGAGTGGTATATAATGTATTTAGGAATCTTCTTTTCTGCTGTTATATATAAAACTTAAGTTTTCATTTGTAATACATGTCCAGCTCCTAAACCTAATAGTAAATTCCCTAGGTCAGGATCTATACCTCCTCTACCTGCACCTCCTCCTGTTTCTCCTGGCTCTGCCCCAGCTAAGTCCACAATAAATGTTTTCTGACATGTTCCCCTCTCCCACACAGGTCCTGAGCAGCAGGAGTGAAATGGGATGTCTATTGCAACCTCTCTGAAATCCATGCTATATGCCAGTTCAAAGAGGCAGTAACAGGCATTTGATTTTACAACCCTTCAGTGTGGCATAGATGGCAAGGGGCCCACGGACAAAGGGAAGGGGATTAGCTCTGACAGCCACCTCAATGGCACAAACAGGCAAAGAGCAAATGTTCACACAGACAGCACACAGGGAAGCAGTGCCCAAGGCAGTGCAGAAGTGGATACCTGGGGCCGAACGGCCCACGGACAAAGGGAAGGGGATTAGCTCTGACAGCCACCTCAATGGCACAAACAGGCAAAAAGCAAATGTTCACACAGACAGCACACAGGGAAGCAGTGCCCAAGGCAGTGCAGAAGTGGATACCTGGGGCCGAACGCGCTTGGATTTCTCTTTCAGCTTACCCTGTTAAGAGCCCATGGAAAGGCTAGTGAGCGGGGTCTGAGTATAGGGGAGTAGGAGGGAAGAACCAGTGTGCCCAAACCCTTGGCTGCCTCCTTTCCTTCAGGCTCCCTTATCACTGGTCCTCTCAGCCTCTATTTTCCTGATCCTGATTCTAGCCCTTATACACATGGAACTCTTAATGCTGATGGGCTCTCCAACCTCCCTAAAGTAGACTACAGCCTCTCTTAGCCCCAAGACTACTCAGGGCCCCTCAAGTCACGGAATCTTATTAACTGTCCTTTGGACCCCAGAACTTTCATCTCTCACGCTTCTCAGACCTGGAGGCCACCACTGGGCTTTTTTTTTTACCATTCCCACCAGAATCACTTGATCCAAAGCTAACAAGGGCCATATCTTGGGGGCTAGACCCTGGTCCTTCCATGGTAGGCATCTGCTAAGCCACAAAAGCAGCTCACCCCAAGCCACCACCCAATAATCAAGATGACTACATACAGTCACCCAAGTCAGACATTTCTAACCTGAGGGTCCCCTGTGCCCATTAGGATACCCCAACCAGCACAGGAGTCTCCCCTACAATCTCTCATGCTCAGTTCCTGAAATACAAGGACCACTCTACCTACAACCAAGGTCAAAGTCTCCCATCTCCCACCCAGCCCTGCCAGAGGAGACATTCCTAGGATTGCTCCCAGATGCTCAGCATTATGATGAGGAAACAAAGGAGGACATCAGGAACTTCCTGGGCAGAAAGAGAGAGGCAATTTGAGCCCACAGGAAGGCACAGCAGTGCCAGACTCACCTGTACATCTGGGCATGGCCTCTTAATTGGGGGGGACTGGCTGGGAGAGTCACCCATGCCCAGCTCTGCCCGCCCCAGGTGCTTGACCACAATGCAGCATCTCACTGGGGAACCCCTAGAAGAAAGAAAAGCCTAAAGTGGTGGCCTGGTTGGCTCAAAAGAGAATTTGACAAGACCCGCCCATGTCCATCTAGGGTAGGGGGGCACAAAGGGAACCTGGCACTGAGTTGGCCAAGTCAACTCAGGTCAATTGCCAACTGGCCAAGCACTTACTTCTCCTGACACTTCTCCAGGGCCTCGTCAGCCAGCTCCTTCAGGTTCACAAGCTTTTCTCCCCTGTAGAAGGCATCTTTGGGGAGCAACAGACATTCCAAGCCTTAGTAGGCACCACACCCCCTAGTGGGCACAATGTCCACAGAACTCTTCCTCAACGGGCCTCTGATTTGAGCTGACAGATGGTCAGCTGAGGTAAGACTGGGAGAGGAAGGGCAGGCAGTCCCTACCCTCTATGCTGAGCAGCCCCAAATACCAACAAGTTGATTGGAGACCAACGCTCCAGGTATGGGCGATTCTGGAGAAGGGATGAGAGAATTAGTCACCTGTAGTGATAAGAAGGTTGCAACTGGAATCCAGGATCCGTTCACATAGAGACTCTGCAGAGAAGCCTGCAAACTAGGGAAGTGAAAAAAGACTGAGGGAGAGAAGGAGGCCCCAAGGATTGAGTGAACAAGGAAAGGCATTACTCATGAAACCTTCAGGATCTTCAAGCCAGGGTCCTAGAAGAAACTAAATAACTGATATGGACCTATGATACAAACACTCTAAGCTCCTTAGTTTGTTATTTAAGACCTTCCATCATCCAGGCCCAGCCTACTTCTCCAGAGCCTCATTCCTTCCCACCCACCCCCCTGCCCTTTTTCGCCAGCCCAAACTCCTACCACAATGGAGTGCAAAGCCCCAAGCCGGGCACACGCCAGCATAGCCACCACGAGCTCAAGGATCATTGGCATGTAGATGGCCACTCGGTCACCCTTTCGAATGCCTGCAGGTAGAAGACACAGAACATGGACGACGGACCCTTCCTGCTGCTACCTGCTCCTTCCCATCCACCTGGCCCCTCCTAGCTGACCTCTTCTGTTACCCTGTTATCAGATTCCTTCCATTCCTCATCCTCTTCCCAAGAGTCCTCAGGTACCCCAAGGCCAGATCCCTCAGTCCCTTTCCAGTACCCCCATACTCACCCTGTTTTCGGAGAACATTGCTGAACTGACACACTTGGACCAGAAGCTCATGGTATGTGATCTGGGTAGTCTCCCCTGGCTCATTGCCCTCCCTGAGATACACCAGAAAGAACAAGTGATTAGGGGTATGAATTCTTCCCCAAACAAGAAACAGGAACAGTCATAAAAAAAATCCCTCCTGTGACACCAAGGCCTGGGACTATCCTGTGACAGTGAGCTATCTGCCACACACCTTGAGTTGACTGGTCAGATACTTTGGCCTTTCAAGATACTTTATACACATGTTGTGTGTCATTGGAAAAATGCATTCGCTGTCGATCTCTTTTTGTTTGTTTTGTTTTGTTGGTAGGGTTTTTTGTTTGTATTTTTTGGTGGCTGGCCAGTATGGGGATCTGAACCCTTGACCATATAACACTGTGCTCTAACCAACTGAGCTAACCAGCCAGTCCTCACTGTCCATCACTGAGCCTCATTTTTTCTGTTGATAAAATGGGGTGATGGTCCCTTCTCTTTCATCCTACAGATGCGTTAAGAAGAAATGGTATCACAGACGTGATTCTTCCTGATGAGGTATCAAGACGATATTAGTTTTATTCAGAGTAGGGTCTCCAGATCACTTGCACCCAAATCATTTAGGGAATTTGTTGAAATGTATTTTCCTGGGCCCCAACTCAGACCTACTTAACCAGAATCACAGGGCCCAACCAAGAATATGCTTCTTTATTACAAGCTGGTACAAGGAATCAGCAGGTGATGCACATCTAATGTTTCAGAATCACTACCCTCTGGTGAGTGATTTCTGCCTACCTCCTCAGCCTTGCGTCCCACTCCTCCCTAGGCTTTAGTCTGGTTTCCTTCAGTCATTCCTTCATTTGTTCATTTGCTTATTTAACAACTACTATGTGCTATATATGTGTATAGAAATAAGGCACTGATGAACAAGATAAGCAAGATCTCTGACATCATGGAGCTTATATTCCATTGGTAATTCAGGTAATACACAAGTAACAAATATAACCACAATAATTCCAGATGATGATAAGCATTATGAAGGAAATAAAGCAGAATAATATAATGAGTGACTGGGGAGAAATACTTTTTAAAAATACACTATCTTAAGGAAATATCATGATGATATGCAAAGATTTAGTTACATGAATATTTCCCTTAGTGGTTTTTTTTTCAATTTCATGATTTTTTTGAATAAGTAATATACTCAAATGACACTGCATAAAAAGATATGTAATGAAGAGTATTCCTCCCGCCCCTATCTCCCGATCACCCTGCCTACTGGCAACCTTTGTTACTAATATTTTGTTTAACTTTCCAGAGACAATCAATATGCAGACAGGGCCACTCCTTGCAGGATGGAGGGCTTAGGGTAACTCAGTTAGTGTGGAGTGACCAAGATAATCACTTTGGAAGAAGTCTACACTGTTAGCATCTTTCACAAGATCCTTGAGATATCGTTGAATATAGAAATTTTAAAACTGAATTTTAAAAAGTTGGATTTTAATGCTGTTCAGAAAATAGATAAGCACCTCACAGTCACCAACTAAACACAGGGTGGCAGAGGTGAAAAGAGCTGCTCTACTCAAGGAACAGGCCTGTTAGACAAGTATACATACATGCATTTATGTTTATATATTGTCATTTTTCTAAATACAGTACACATTATTATGTATCTTGTTTTTTAAATTGAGCATTATATACATTCAGTAAACTGCACAAATTTTAAGTGTAGAGCTCAATCATCTTGCTTTTCTAAATTTAACAATATACCTTCATATCATTCTCCATCAAGACTTAAAGAGCTATTTCATTCTTTGTCAGCTGCATGATATTCCACTATTTATCTTTTTTTTTTTTTTTTTTTTTTTTCGTGACCGGCAACGGGATCGCAACCCTCGGTGTTGCTCCCGCACCTTGCTCAGCCAGTGAGCGGCCGGTCTGTATGTGGGATCCAAACGCTCGGCGGGAGCGCCACCACACTTCCCAAGCGGTGCACTGTAGGAGTGCACCACCGGGCCGGCCCCAGTTCCACGGTGTTGCTCCCGCACCTTGCTCAGCCAGTGAGCGGCCTGTCTGTATGTGGGATCCGAACGCTCGGCGGGAGCGCCACCGCACTTCCCAAGCAGTGCACTGTAGGAGTGCACCACCGGGCCGGCCCCAGTTCAACTATTTATATGTACCATAATTTACTCAATAAATAAATACTTCAATGAATATCTTTATTCATATGTCATTTTACTCACTTGCAAGTGCATATTTAGGATAAATTATTAGAAGCACAATTGTTGGGTCAAAAGATATGTGTATTTTAAGTATTGATAAATATTAGGGGATGACTATTTTAGATAAGATATTCAGGGAAGGCCTCTCCCTGGGAAGGTGATATCTGAGCTAAGACCTGAATAATGAGAAGTAGGCAATCACATTAATTCTTGGGAAGAGTATTCTAGGCAGAGACAGCATTAAATGGAAAGGCATTGAGGCCTATTCAAAGAACAGAAGGGAATCCAGTATGGCTGGAATACAGTGAGCTAGCTATAAGTTGGGTAAGTAAGCAGCAGTCAAATCATGTAGGGCATTGTAGGCAACAGTAAGAAGTTTAAATTTTGTTCTTCCTTGCTTCCCTTATATGCAAAGCTCAGGTCTACCTCCATACTTTTTGATCACGCCATTGCCCCTGCTCAGAATGTTCTTCCTCCTTCTTTAGGCACCATGTAGCCCTCCCTCAGCACTACAGGGCATTGTGTTACCTCTCCTTCCTTACTATCCAGAGTACTTATGAGGGAGGTAACTAAAACTTAGAGAGAGGTAGTAGCTTGGCCAAGGTCACACAATAATAAGTGGCAGAGCCAAGAATAGATCCTCAGGTCTTCTGATTTCATGTAGAGATTCTTTCCTTCATAGTGTGAAGGGCAGGGACTGGCAGGGAAGCCATGCCTTTTCTTACTGATGGAGATTACTCAGGAGGATTATCAGCCTCTTCCAGCTCCTGGCTTGATGAGTCAGTTACTATCCTCTCCTTGGCTTTAACCCTCCTAGGGCTAAGAGGAGCCAATGACAGGGAGCTTACTAAAGTACGAAGGAACAGGGTGAGAGGAAGCTGGCAAATGGCCTAGAACACCAGAGGCAGAAAAGCCATTTCCTTAAACGGCCCACTGATGAGTGCCACAGGAACTTCAGAACATCTCCAGTTACAGCTGTATACCAACATATACATACCCACCCACACATCCCCACATACTTACCACACACCAGTTCACCTATGTTCGCACCTATTTTTCACTTGTGTAAAATCACATCTAATAATATGCAAACATTCTAGGCATAAAAGCTTCCCATCTGCATACACGGGAAAAATAAGCATAAAAATATGCACTCAGGACTCAAACATGGGCCCATACGCAAGTACATGCACCACATTTAGATACCCACCTACTCATATGTGTGTGGCTTGCCCCTTCAGAAATGCTCTATCAAATCATTCTGGTTATTTTTTTCGTGAAACTTTCCATTATTTGAAATTAACTCATGTGTTTTATTTACTTGTATATTATCTGTGTCCTTCACTGAAATATAAGCCCCATGATAGCAGAGACTTTGTAGGTCATGTCCACTGCTACATCCCTAGCACCTACAATAGAGCCTGGTAATTAGAAGGTGCACAGGAACACATAAGCACAACATTTACAAGTATAGCATACTTGAGCCCACTTCCAGACACACACACCCCCCACTCAATGTGGATTCCTCTCCCTGTCTATGTGGGCTGAAGTTATATATTATTGATACAGGCATCTTACTCATTCCAGTATCTTTTTTCTCTGACATACACACCAGGCTGGGGCCCCTGGCTGGTTGGGAGGGGGAAGGGGACAAGGTACTGGCCTACTGAAAAATCCAAGCCCTCTAGGATGTTAGAGCTCTTAAAGAACATCCAATTTAATCTCCTAACTCTGAGACCAAAGAGACTATTAGCTATGCCTGGGGTCACAGAGTGGGTTGTGTCACAGCAGGGACCAGGACTCAGGGTCCAGGCCTCTTTCCTCCAAACTGGGAGTTGCAAACTCAAAAATTGAAAGGGTCCAGGCAGGTAATATAAATGAATGAAGTGGACCATATGAAAGAAAATTTTTGATAGACACAAGAAACAGTTCCCTTTTTTCTCAACTTTTCTATAAGAGAACAGCAGCACATGTACTGACACTTAGCCTCGGTTTGGGGGAAACAATAGAAAGGGGTAGGGACAGGAAAACTGGAGAATACATGCTCCGGCAAAAGGAGGCAACCAGTGTCTAAACATAGCTCCATGGTCAACTTTTGCCCAGGAGAATAAGGGCTCAATGTTGCCATTTTTTCCAGTTTTTCAAGAGAGTCCTGGAATCTACTTTTGTCAAAACTTCTTAAGTGTTGACAACTAATTTTAAGAAGTTTTAAACACTGTGAATCAAACAAAACTATTAATGAGAAATTTAGCTGGTGGGCTACTGATTGGGAATTGTTGCTGTAAATCAAACTACGTCCCCTTCAGTTGGAGGCCATACGGTTATCTGGGAAAAGAACGCTCCCAGTAGAGGGCAAAGGCTCTGAGGTTAAGTGTGCTTGGTTAAGTGTGCTTGGGACAACACAAGGTACAGAATCATTAGGTCCTCCTCATCTTCTTCCTTCAGGAAGCGTTCTCCAACTACCTCATCTTCACACTATCCAAATTTACTTTAATCCATTATTGGTTCTAAATCTATTTAGAATTAGACTACTTCACATCTAATTCTACTATCCTAGTCCAAAACCACTGTTAGGTAAGTCAAATCATATCACTCCTCTGCTCAAAATGCTCGGATAACTTCCCATATCATTTTGAGTTAAAGGCAAAGTCCTCACAATGGCTTACTAGTTCCTACATGATCTACTCCCTTCCTCTCTTCTCCTTCTGCTCCAGCCACATGGCCTCCCTAGTGTGTGGCAAAAACATCAAGCACACTTAACCTCAGAGCCTTTGCCCTCCACTGGGAGTGTTCTGTTCCCATATAGCCATGTGACTTATTCCCTATCTTTGAGACATTGCTCAAACATTGGCTTCTCA